CCCGCCACGCCCCGCCTCTCCCCGTCCCACCAAGCCCATCTAGCAGTGCGGGCCTTCGCCGCAGAGGGAGAGGACCTGCGGAGAAGAAGGGCCACCTGACCCAGCCACCGCCGCCGCCGCCGCGCGGCTGCAGCTCCCCGGGGACCCCAAAAGCAGCTGTAGCTCCCGGGAGGGAAGGGGAGGGTCGCGTGCTGTCAATGTGCAGCTCGCTCCCCTCGCAAGCTGTCGCCAAAACCCGGAGCGCGGATCCGGCGCGCAGGAGACGCGGGGCTGGAGGCAGAGACCCTGCGGGGCTGGGAGAAACGCAGACGCAGCAGGTTCTTCCTGTCCGGAGGGAGGCCACTCCTCCCCCTGCAGGTCTTCCAGAGAGTGACCTAAAGCTGCGGAAGCGGGTGGTGGCTCTCCCGGCTGCTCTGCGAGGCGGCGCAGCTGCTTGCTGCTGCAGCTCCGCACCGTGAAATTCCTCCCGTGGCGACACCTGCGCCTGTCGGTCACCCGGCCAGGGCCTCAGGACGTCCCGCCCCTCTGTCCCTGAACCTCTATGGGAGCCCAGAGAATTAATGTTAATTGTCTTAATCGGCCGCCCTCTCTTCTCTCTCCCTCCGTCTGCCTGGTAGGAGACAGGAAAAGGTGGCGTTTTCCGGCCGTGAGGTCCCCGCCGGCTAGGTTGACCTGGAAAAGGACCTGGAACCCAGTGGAGTCGCACGCCCCGGGCCTGGCTCCAACCTCAGGACTCTCTGGTTGCCTGGAAATCCTGGCACAAAGCGGAGCCCCTCCTAGAGACCTTGGCTCCCGGAGCGGTAGGCTTCTCAGCCTCCAGGGGGGCCCCCCCCCCCCCCGCCCCATCGCTCTGAAACCTTAGACTGGGGTGCACGTTAAGCCCAGCGGACACAACTGCTCGGGAGAGCGGAAATACTTGGGCGGAGTGTTAAAAGCCCCAAAGAAAGCAATAGCTGCCAGGTTAACCGGCCAAGAGGTCGGAAGTCAAATATAAAACTGCAGAAGTGATACCAGAATTTTGACAAGCCAAACAGTCGGGGAAGATAAGGGGCCCTGCATTGTTTCCTTTCTTCAACTGACGATTGCTCCGAAGTTTCCTTTGGCAGATACCTGGGTTCCACTGCAGATTCCTCAGTTTTACTTGGGGTTCATATTTCAAAATATATGTATCATTTGGCACTAATGTATATATTTTATATATGAATTTATTGAAAAATATTAAATGTTACTGGCCTAGTTGGATAAAGATATTTTTATAAATATTTATGCACAGCTTCCATTACATATGGTATTTTAAAGAGTACAAATATGTATGGATATACATTTATGAAATACCATATAAAAATTGCTTTTGCACACATAAAGACATTCCTTACACACATGTCCTGTGTGTGAGTTCTTTTGTCACTTGTTCTATTGTTAGCTGCTGCTCAAAGCAGCCCATTCCCACTTGTCTAAGTAAATAACTTCCTTTAAGTTTCTGCAAACATAGGGTGGCAGGTGGCTAGAGGGCAGGACTTTTATTCCAAAACCCCATTTTCACTCTTGGGTGCTGTTTCTTCTTCTTCTTCTTCTTCTTCTTCTTCTTCTTCTTCTTCTTCTTCTTCTTCTTCTTCTTCTTCTTCTTCTCCTCCT